AGCTGACGCTGCTGCCCAGCAGAGCGCTGGGCTTGACATAAGCCCCAGGCCCCTGGGGGAGGGGAGGGTCTCCTCAGGGGCCGGAGTTGGGACCAGCACAGTGGGACCGCGAGCCTGGAGTCCCCGCCTGCAGGAGGAGCCGGGGTGACCGCTTGTGGCCCCGGGACACAGGCAGGCACTGCCGGCCCCCCGCCCCAAGAAGGGCATGTGGACACTGCTGCTCCACAGGCCCCCGTGTCCAGGGCTGGGGGGGACAGCCTGGACGTGCTGCGTGTCCGCCCAGCACCACCATCTGTGGTGGCAGCAGACGGCCCTGCCCCGCCTCCGCTCCCAGGTGGCTCTGCCTCCCGCCCACGCCTCCTGGACTCCGCTCTCTCCTGTGACTAGAGAGTCGTGCTGACCCGGGGCAGGCTCGCCGTGTGTGTGCTGGTCCCGCACAGCCCCCGCCCCCGTTCTCTGTGGCCTCCCTGTGCCGTACGCACACGTTGTCCTATCAGAGCTTCTGCTTCTTAGGGCAGAACCTTCCCATCTCGAATAATTCCCGCTCTCTTCCCATAAATCTGCTGCTTCCCTCTGCCCTGACCCAGATGCCTTTTCCACACCGGCTCCTCGGGGCCGCCCTCACCTCAATCTTTCTGCCTCGTCCTGAGGCTGCCCAGCGAGTCCCCTCGGGACGGCCGGACACTGGCCCTGCGAGCAGGGAAGGAACCCACTGCCGAGCCCCAGAGCAGGGATGGTCCCTGTCAGGCTGCTCACCCACGCTGTACGCCTCAGACGAGGAAAAGTACAAGAAAAATAATGAGGCCATTTTTCTGGAACTTGACAGCCGTGGGCTGGAGACTGGAACCCGAGTTTGGGACAGCTGAGAGGCTGTGTAACCAGGAGACCAGAGACCCAAGCGGACGCATTGTCCCGGGCGCAGGGACGCCCTGCAGTTCGCGAGGAGGTCGCTGTGCTCTGATTCTGAGATGCCTTGTTTACATTCTGACCCCAGACCTCAGACATTCCTTAAATTGTTGGGAACTTGGGAGCAGAGACCAGCATGAAGTTCAAACACCCACCCCACCGTGGACACAGCCACCAGCAGCGTTTGATGGGGACACTCTGGGGACTTCCTGCAACTGATCTTGACCTTGGAGACCATGGTGCCCTGCCCCCATCATCGGGCTGGGAGTTGGGGTCCTAGAGGGGTGAGGGCGGGGTGCACCTGGGGGCTGACACCGCCTGGCACGTCGCCTTCCTGTCCCCCGCTCTTGGGTGCAGCTGTGGGTGCAGGAGGCTCAGGGCCCCGTGTGCTCAGCCAGTCCCACGTCCCTCTCCTGATCCAGGGACAGGGACACACTCTGTCCTTGTCTTCAGTGCTTCCTTTGCGCATGCTGGGTCAAGGGGTCTGGGGGCTGCGGTACTGGGTGGCCCCCATCGGGGCAGCATGGGGCAGAGGCGTCAGGAGCTGGAGGTGGGCCAGGCAGAAGGAGCCAGGCTGTGGTGCTGGGTTTGCCCCCCGCTCCCCACTACCCAGGTCTGTCCCAATCATCTGCATGGTTGTGTAGGGTGCTGAGACTCCCGCAGGTCACTGAAGAGGAGACCCCCCTGTGTGCAGCAGGGAGGGGCTGGTGGGGGCACACGGGCTCAGACAAGGAGGGGTCAGAGCCAGGAAACTCCTCTCTCTGGCTTGCCTCCGTCTCAGGAAGTCAGCCGCGCGGTCCGGAGCTGCAGGTGGGGAGGGAGGCAGGCGAGAGCTGGCGGCCGAATGGGAAGGCGCCCAGCATCTGGGAAGGAAAGCCCCCCACTCGGCAGCTCCACTTCCTGCCACGGAGCGTGTGCCAGGGGCAGGGGGCAGGAGGCCAGCACCAAACGCGCTCTCCCGGCAGTGAGGCCAGAGCCCTGGGCTGCCCCCGGGGACCCCTCCCCTTCCCTCAGCAGGACCTGGGGGGGCGAGCTGTGCCTTCCCATTGGAGACACTGTCAAACAGCTCTTCTCAGCCCTGGCGGGTGTGGCTCAGCTGGTTGGAGTGTCATCCCCAACCAAAGAGTTGTGGGTTCATTTCCCGGTCAGGGCGCCTGCCTCACTTCTCCCTCTCACATTCATGTGAGAAAATTGTCCTTTGTGAGGATAAAACAATTTAAAAGACACTTTTCCCCACTTGACCCCTAAAATGAGAGACTTGCAATGTTTCAAATGAGTTGCCGTTTACGGGGCAAACTCTGCCGGCTCTGGTCCAGCCTGGGCTCATCGTCACCACCATATTCCCCAAAGTGCCACTCAAGGCGGATTGGAAACACGGCGCTGGGGCGCCCCCGCTTTCTCGGTTCCCTGTTCCTCGCCGCTGCCTGGTGAGTCGGGGCTCGCTTCCTCCCTTCGCCCCTCCTCACGCCCTTGATTCTGCCGTGTCCTGCTGGGCACACGCTTTATTACTAAATACCTCATTTCAAAACTATGCGTGCGAGCAGCTGGCCCTGGCGCCTGGGGAACGTCTGCAGGGTGGTCTCTGGGAAACTTGCAGGCCTGCCATGGGGGGAACCTGTCAGCCCGTGCGTGGGGGGGAGCGGGGGGCCATGAACTCACTGCCCTTCACCTATAGCAGGTGCGGCTTGTGAGAGCTCAGTGGCAACTGGTGGGGGACGAGTGACCTGTTTGGCCCCCTTGGCCCTCCTTGCAGAGTGAGCAAGAGCCTGGGTGGGGCTGGAACGCGGCCGTCAGGTCCCCGCCTGGGGTCCCCATGGGCCCCACAGTCCTAGCCTGGCACTGTCCCCGTGGTGCGTCTGGCAGTACCTGATCCCCACCTCGGCTATTGGGCAGCTCTCCACACCACTGCCAGGGGCCCCCCACTTCTATACCTGCACATGGTGCCCTTTGCTGGCTGGGTCTGGCTTTCCTCCCCAAAGTGGGGGAGGGGGTGCAGGAGGTGTCTGAGCCCTGGGGTGGAGGCGGGCCCTCAGCTCCCTCCCTGTCCTGCCAGAATCCAGAATTTAAGGGGCAGAAGAAGCCCCCTGGAGTCACTGACTGAAGCCCTAGGTTTGTCTGTCTGTGTGGGACGGTGGTGCCGCGGTTGGTCGGGGTAGGTATGTCCCCTCCCCAATACAAAGAGGAATCCAGGCTCCTCGCCCTCCTGGCCTGCCCCTCTGGTTCACTGTCTCCCCAGTTAACCCTCCAGCCCTTTCAAGGAAAACAGCGTTTCCCCTGCTGCTCCCCCAACGCTCAGGGGCCGCCCACGCTGGGGAGGTCCAGGTGCTCAGAGATCCCGTGTTAGAGGCTCCCAGACCCCAAGTCACAGTGGGGTCCCTGCCTCCAGTGCTTATAGGCCCGGTGCCCCTCGGGGTAGGGCAGACTCATCTCCGGTTGGGGGGGCCCTGTCTTAGCCCAGACCTGTTGTTAACTCCTGGGCACTGCCTGAGCTCAGGCCTGAGTCCAGCCCTGGGGGCCCTGGGGGTCTCACCTTGAGATTCGGATAGCTATGCTTCTGTCAGATACGTGAACTGTTCCTGTAAGCTTTTCCTTTAAATACTAAGTTTAAAAATAAGAAACCTGCCCTGGCTGGTGTAGCTCAGTGGATTGAGTGCAAAGGGTTGCCAGTTCAATTCCCAGTCAGGGCACATGCCTGAGTTGCCGGCCAGGTCCCCAGTGGGGGCCGTGTGAGAGGCAACCACACACTGATGTTTCTCCCCCTCTCTTCCCCTCTCTCTAAAAATAAATAAATAAAATATTTTTAAAAAGAAACCTTTCTAGTAAAAGACCATGTGCATTGGAAAGCCTTTTTTAAAAAAGTATATTTTATTGATTATGCTATTACAGTTTTCTCAATTTTCCCCCCTTTTCCCCCCTGCCCTGCACCTCCCCCACCCTCCAGCTTCCCCCTCTTAGTTCATGTCTGTGGGTTGTGCATATAAGTTCTTCGACTTCTGTTTCCTACACCATTTTTGATCTCTCCTCATCTATTTTATGCTTACCAATTAAGCTTCCTCTTCCCTGTACCTTTCCCCCGTATTCCTCCCCCACCACTGAAATCCCATGTGATGTCCATTTCTCTGATTCTGTTCCTGTTCTACTTGTTCGCTTAGTTTTTGTTTTCATTGTTTGTCTTTTCTTTTAGGTTCATTTGTTGTCATTTTACTGTTCATATTTTTTATCTTCTTGTAACAGGGTGCAGCCAAGAGGGGGGCCCCAAATAGGGATTTGTAATGGGGTCCAGAAGAGCTTGGAGGTGATTGGCTCCGCTCCACAGGGCCACGCCTGCCCGAACGCTGGCAGCTGTGGCCAGTTGGGGGAGGAGCTGGCGGCAGGGCTGCAGAGGAAGATCGGTGCTGGGATTTAAACCCATGCCCGGCAGCCATTTGGGGTCTTTTCGGGGACCACTCAGCTTGGGTGAGAGTCAGGACCACACGGCTTTGGAAGTGCCCCAGGTTGCCACATGGATGGTGCCCGGAGCGTGAATCGCAGACTTCTTCTTTCCTGAGATGTGGTACCTGAGACTGGGCAGCGGGTGAAGGAAGGACTGTGTGCGTTTGTGAGTATTCTAGAGAACTTTAGTCCGTATAACTTTTAAATAAATACGAATTCCTTTCCTCTCACCAGTCTCTGGCATTGAGAGACATCTTTCCTCCAGTGGCAGGCAAAACGAACCTAGTACGTGCGAGGAACCCCCGGAGAAAAAGGGGGGGTCTTCGCTATCGTTCAGTACCCCACCCTGGTCTGTTCTGTAATGTTCTTTTTCTTAGGTAAGTCCGTGTAATGTTTCATGTAATAAGGGCTTGGTGATGATGGACTCCTTTAACTTGACCTTATGCTGGGAAGTACTGTATCTGCCCTTCCGTTCTGAGTGAAAGCTTTGCTGGATGGAGTCGTGTTGGATGTAGGTCCTTGCCTTTCATGACTTGGAGTACTTCTTTCCACCCCATCTTGCCTGTAAGGTCTCTTTTGAGAAATCAGCTGACAGTCTTATGGGCACTCCTTTGTAGGTAACTGTCTCCTTTCCTCTTGTTGCTTTTAAGATTCTCTCTTTATCATTTCCTGCCTTTGTTTTTCCCTAGTGGCTCGTCATAGTGGACGCCAATCCAGTGGCCAGGCTTGAAATCTGTGAGTCCTCCATCCACGACGCTGCCCCAGCGGGGCGGCCGCCCAGGAGCCCCCACCTTACGGCAGCTGCCCACAGAGACGGCACTGGCCTGTTCCCGCTCCTCCCCGAGGCGCTGGTTGTATTGGCCCAGCTTGGTACGCCTCAGGAAGGAGAGGACCGAGTGTTGCCTCTGGTTGTAGGCTTCCTGTGAGAGCCTGTGTTTCTCCACCTTGGACGCATCCTCAGAGTCCCCGAGGCGGGCACTGCCGTGGTCAGTGACAGGGACGTGGCAGCCGTTATCTTCGGGGCACGAGCCCCGTGATGCATCCCCCCGATCCAGTGGCAGCAGAACCTCTCGTGAGCTCCTTGCAGCTCCAGTTCCATGCAGGACACAGGGCCGCCCAGCTCCAGCTCCAGCCTGCACTTGAATTCTCAGCTGTTGTGAGGCTGTGACGGTGCCACTTGTCAGAGCAAACACTGCTGATGAAAGCGGTCACGGTGGGCGCACACAGCCCGGTCACCTCTGTGTCTCCATGCCCTGCCGGGCCAGGCGCCGCACAGCCACCGCCTCTGCTTCTGGGGTGTCCTGGAAAACCGTTTAGAAAGCGTACCTGCCCGTAGCTTACTGCCGTCCTGCCAGTCCTGTTGCTCCTTCCCGGCCTCGCCGGTCCCGGCCCCCAGCCCCAGGCCCTGCCACTCACCCACAGCCCTCGAGAGCCACCGGGTCTGGGCTTCACGGCCTTGAGAACTTACTCTTCATTCTTTCTGGTGCCTCCAAGTGTTTATTTAGCACTGAGAATAAAGTGTGACTGAGACATACTCCTCAGCATCAAGGAAAAGCAAAGCAACATACAGTCCTTGAAATCTGGGGGGTGAGGCCTGACCCCCATTTTCATCTTTCTCTGATCAGGAGGACGGAATTGTCTGTTTACATAAAATGTTGTCAAATATGCAGAGACAGACTATTCCAACACGGACGGAGTGTTGAGGGAGGCAGTGCGGCAGCAGGACCAGGGCCCTGGGGCAGCCCCACCCCCCCCACGCCACCCAGCCCCGACTGGCTGTGCTCCTGGGGAGGGCGGACCAGCCTCTCACGGGGCGATCACCCTGGTCTGTAGCGAAACCAGCTGAAACCAGCCGCACAAGCACCCTCTGTGGGGCTCCGACCCCCTCTGGGGGCCATCCTTCGGTTCCTGTGCGCAGCCCTGCGCTTTCTCTGCTTGAGCCCGGAGCCCTTCCTCCGCGGCGGTGGCGAGGTCACCACTCGGACCTGGAAGTCTTAACGGGCGCACTGGGATCTGTCCGCCTTGCCTCCCGATTTCCCCTTTCGTGTCCTGGCAGACCCTTCCCAGCTCCAGGGCTGCAGACGCTCTGCTGTCGCTTTTACAAGTTTTCACACACAAGTGCTCACGCATCTGGAAGCAATCTTCTTGCGTGTGGTTTACGATAGGGATCCGATGTCCCTTTTTTATAAGCGTAACCAGCCCCCTGGCACCGCTCACTGCTCCGTGCTTCCGCCCCGCCCGGTTCAGGCTTCCATCGCGCCCTGGGCACCCGTTGACCGACAGCGCCCACCCCACCCCTCTGTTCCACACTCACTCACTCGAAGTTTACTGAGCACCTACTATGCGGCAGGAAGTCTCCGGGGCTAGGGCTCTCATCCACTAGAAACCCGCCTTCCAGTGGGGTTGTGTGGGGGGCACAGGTGGATTGTGGGTCTGGTGACAGCGTTTGGTGGGGTGGAGACAAGGGGAGTGGGGGCAGGGGGTGCAGTAAAATGATTCAGAGGGCCCCTTTCCTCCCCCCCGGCTGGAGGCCCTCACACCTGAGTGCTCAGTCAGTCCTGTGTGTGTGACATGGGTGACCTCGACACCCCTCTTATCGGTGACTACTCCTCACCCCCACCCCGGTGCCCAAGACCCACAGCTCCGGTCACCCTCCCTGTGGCCTCTCCCTTCCCCGTGGGCCTTCTGTTGCCCTGCACAGAGGACCCAGCCGGGGCGGGGAGGAGTCCTAGGGTGGCACCGCCCCAGTTCCAGTTCCCATCCAGCTCCAGCGCCCTCTGCCCCCACCTGGTGTGCTGACGTTTATTAGGCCCACGTTGCCCCCACCCCTGTGTTGCCCTGCTGCTCGGGGGCAGGAAGGGAGACCGAGGGCGGGCGGAACCCTCCACCATCCACCTCCAACCTCCGTCGGAGGAGGAGCAGCCCAGATCCACATGGTCTCAGGGTGGACGGAGGCGCAGGGCTGCTGCTGCCAGGGGACCTCCGCCAGCTCCCCGCGGGTCAGGGGCTGCTCTCCCTGTTCCCTCTTTCTGTCCACATCCCGGGTCAGGGTCTGCTTATTGAATGTGCAGACTCTGTGATCAAGCAGCAGCTCTGTGCACGGCCGAGGCCTGGCCCCTCCAGCTGTCGACAGTCCATCACCCAGCAGTTCCCTCTGGGTGCTGAGCAGCTCACGAGGGGGGAGAGAAAGCTCAGCGAGGTCCCCAGCACAGCAGACGGCAAAGTTGCGGGTCTGCCTTGTGCCCAGGTCTGATGTGAGAACGTTCTCCATGGGTGGGCCCTGGGACACCAGCTAGGCAGCCTGTTACCCCAGCATCAAGCTGGGGAGCCCATCAGAGGCCTGGGCGGGATGCCAGAAGCCGTGGCCCACCTGGGCTGGCTTCAGCAGGGGACCGGTAGGCCAGGCCCCGGTGGCCTTGCTTTGCTGTGGAGGGAGCAGCCCAGAGAGAGAGAAGCCTCCTTCCCGGGAACCTTCTCCTGGAGCCTGGCGTTTCCCCAGTAGGTAGAGGGCCAAGGTCATGCATGGGTGGTTCAGAGCTGTGAGAATCCAAATGACTAATAGGGGAAGAAAATCATCTCACCAGTTATCAAAGGAGGCTTCGCCCGTTATCTCTTGCACTGGTGGGTGCGGCGTTGCTTTCCGGGAGGAAATCGGGCAGAGTCCATGAGAAAGTGCTTTGGCCTCTTGATAAGCCGCCCCCAGAAAGCGGAAGCGCAGGGGGTTTATTGCCCACAGATTCTGCTGCCAGGAGCAGAGGACACCCGCAGTGGCCGCAGCCCCTCAGCCGCTGTGGCAGCTGCAGGGGGGCAGACACTGGGCCGATGGGGTGTGGCCCCGAGCCCCAGCCCAGCACTTGGCCTGGATCTTCATGGGCACTCGGGGACGCACCCTGCAGACGGCGGGACGGTCTCACGTCACGCAGCACCATGGCTTCAGGTGGAGGAAGGCCTGTGACGGTGGGAGGGGCTGGGGCAGTCTGGAGAGAACCCCTGTCAGAGGCCCTGGGGGCGTGGCAGCTGGGGGGCGGGGCAGCACATGCGTGTGGATGGGCGCTCACCAGCCGTCCCCACACCTGTCGGAATGCACAGAACTGCCCCTGCGATCCACACATCGCACTGTGTGCCGGTTGTGAGTTAATAACGTCGACTCAAAATGTGTGACGTAGAGCTGTGCTGGGAGCGCTTCCTCCACTTTCCGGCAGAAGGGAGGGCAAAGGAAGTGGGCTGATGTAGCTCTGTGGCCTTTGGGGATAGTGCCACCTGGGGACATGGCTGCTCCGGCCCGTCCCACCAGGGTCTCCCCGTCTGCGGGCCGTGGCCACAGCATGGGGCGCATGGGCCCCTTCTCTGCCTACTCCCACATTTTTGTGTCCTGAGAAAGAGGAAAAGTTGGCACCATCCACCTTGTGGACGGACGCCCCTCGAGGCTCCCAGGGCCCTGGGAAGTTGCTGGCAGTTTCCCCTGACAGCTGTGCCCAGCCCTCCCATGGGTCCAGGCCCCAAGCTGCACCCCACACCCCAGCAGGGAACCCCACTGGGAGCAGGTGCCCCAGTTCAGGTCTCTCCCACAGGGTGCTAACCATCCTCAGGGAGTTACTGCCTTGTTTGATTTTGCCACATGCTGAGTATTTAATGTTTCAGATGAGTGTTTGCTCTTTGGCTTTGAACGAAGTGACATCAGTTTCTTTGTAATGCTGGCAGGACCTGAGGGAGGACAGGGTTTGCTGCCATCAAAAGGGACGGTCAGAAGTGGGCTGGACCAGGAGGGGAGGGATGGCTGGGCCCATTCTGGGCATCCCTCCCCTGTCCCCCCTTGAGGTCCTCTAGAAGGAGGTCCTTGGGTCCTTGAGGCTGTGCCAAGGGTCCCCCTCTCCTGAGACTGAGCATCTGGAGTGGAGGGTGGGCCAGCCTGAGGGGCCACGGGCCTGAGAAGACGAGGCCCCTGCTGAGGTGGGCGTGTGGGCCCCAAACTACGGCTCCTGGGTGGGACTCCACTGTGCCCCGTCTGGTGCCGGTGGGAAGGGTGGGGGGCCGGTGGCTGCCCCACTCCCTCTGCTCCAGGTCTAGAGGCTGCTGGGCTGGAGGCTCAGGAAATGCTGCCAGAGAGAACAGAGAGAGGAATGCAGTGGGCGCTGAAGCACGTGAGGCCGAGCCCTCAGAGCCGGAGCCCCGGGTGGTGGGGAGGGGTCCTGCTCCCTTCCATCAGCGTGGGCCTCTCCCTTCTGGGTGAGAGCCAGGAGGGGGACGGGAGGGGCTGCTCAGGTGTCCTTGCACCAAACCCGGAGAAGGATGGGACCCGCCCACCCCAGAGGGTCCAGAGCAGCGACTGACCATCGTGCCCTGCTCCTGGGTGGGTTAGTGGAAGGCCAGGAGCACCCCCTTCCCACCCTGGGGCCTGGGCGGTAGGGTACTTCGGGCTGGCTGGGCAGGTTGTGTAACCTCGCACGTGGGTTTGCTTTGGCAGCCTCAAAACCCTCAGTGCTCTGCAAACGGCCGGCCCTCCTCTGGCCATTGGAAGCCCTCCCTGCTGGCTCTGCAGATGTGCTTGGGGAGACGGTGCTGAAAGACACAGCTGTGGCTGGATGCCTCCGTGGCCGCGCCACGTGGGCTGTGACCTCTTGTTTGCCGAGCGCGGGTCTCCAGGGAGTCTTGGCAGCTTCAGGCTATGCAGATGTCTTGTGCTGAAGGCTGAGGACTGGGGTGCATGGGGCTCTCCAACCTCTGCCTGGAGCGGGTCTCTCTGTGTACCTCCCAGGTGTCTGCTGCCCTCACTGTCCTGCCCCAGCTGTGCTGGCCACTGGGCTTCCTGCCACCTGCTTCTTTCATTTCTGCACTGGGCACAGTGTCAGCCAGCGGAGTGCACTGAGGGGCTGGTACTTGATCACACACTGGTGCCTTCCACATCCAGACACATGCATTTCATAGGAAAACGTTAGGGATTCCATGACAAAGGAATGAATCTCTAACTGTGGAACAGGCGGTAAGAGGGGAGAGCTCTGAATGGAAGCCCTTCCATTGAAGCCACCAAATTCTGCAGGGGGCCAGGGCTGGGGTCCACACCTGGGGAGAATTTATCCACATCGCAGCTCGGGGTGGTCTTGTAGTGTCAGTGGCTCCTTGGTGCCTCTCTGTCCTCTGTGTTTGTCCTCTGACCCCTCCTGACCTCACCTGTGCTCATGTCTGAGGGGGATCCTGCTCGTGGCCCCTGGGTGTCGCTCTGGCTGCTTCTGAACACGGTGTCTGCCCTCAGGGCTGGGCCACACGCAGCAGCATGACTTGGTGAGGTGGGCGGAGGCCAATGCGGTGACACAAGCCAGCACCCCTGGCAGTGTCCAGTGGGCCTGAGGTCCGTGGACAGGTCTCAGTGGGCCTGGAGCAGCCTGGCCACCTCACTGGGGCAGCAGTTGGAACCTCCCCATTTCTTCTAACTAGTGCGGGAGCTCACAGGTCCAGGTTTCCTAACTCACCCTGGAGGCCACGGTGGGGCCTGGCTGGCCTCTGAGGCCTTGCTTGGAGGGGCCCATGGCCCCTGGTCCTCTTGGCCAGTGTGGCCCCTCTTCCAGTGGCCTCACTCTTGAGAACAAAGGCTGGTGTGGTGTGGCAGAGCACGACCCAGACCTCTGGGACCACACGGGGCACTCTGGAGTGGAAACAGAAGCTGTTCCCTTTGGGCCTCTGCGACCGAGCCCTGGGACATGGGACACCTCAAGTCCCCAATGCTGGGGCATCTGGAGGATAGATCCTGAGTCAGGCACCATGCTGGGGGCACAGATGAGGAGACTGGGGCTTCTCCAGGTCACTAGGTCATGGGTCACTAGTCCTGGGCCCTGGACGTGGGCACAGGGGACAGTGCTGCCGGGCCCTGCAGAAAGGCTGCCCACAGCCCTGCCTGTCCCGGGTGCTGAGGGGACCCACTCCTAGAATGGACAGTGGGCACACACAGTTCAGCTCTGCAGGGCTGGGCACAGGAATGACTTGGCCCATTTTCCACTTGGTCACTGTTTTAATGCATGGAATCTATTTGTAATGACAGTTTGCATGCTTCTAAAAGTGGTGCACGGTGTGCAGACTCTGAGCGAAGTGAAGACACGGCAGACTTTGTCAAAGAGGAAGTGGTCTGCCGAGAAGGCAGTCCAGGAGGCTGAGGCTGTGCCGGCTGCACGCTCCCCCGGGAAGGCCTCCAGCCACCACAGGGAGGGGACCTCCTGCCTGGTCCCTGTGTTCAGGGCCCTGGCTGTGCCGGGCTGTATCCTGTTCCCCCAGAGCCTAAGAGGGCGGGTCCTGCCCCCCCAACCCCAACCCTAACCCTAACCCTAACCCCTTTGGGACTTGGGGTTTCAGCTGCTGGCCATAGTTCCGGGTGTGGTGGAGGCTGTGGTTTGCCCAGAATTCTCTGTGCCTGCTGGGTCGTGGTGCTGGGCTCTCAGGGTCATGGCTATGACCTTCCACAAGTCCCAGCTGCTCAGCACATGTTTGGAAAGATGCCAGGTTCATTTCACACTTGACCACAGAGAAGCACAGGGCGGGTGTGTCACGATGCCCGGTGGGCCACCCCCACAGTGTGTCCTGGACGCTGAGGTCCCACGGCCACCAAGCATAGGGCCTTTGCCACCTCAGCTCTGGCAGGAATGTTTCTAGAAGTGGGCTGAATGCCTCTCGGCCAACAGGAACTTCCTGCTGCCGAGAGCAGAGGCCGGACGGGCCTGGCAGGGCCCTTGGCAGGCGTCTCCCAGGGCCGGCCTGGCTGTGCTTTCTGGCCGACTGAGTGCAAGTGATTCAGAAACACGTGGATTTCATTTCTGGGAGGCGCGTGGGTTGTCATGGAGGCTGGTGGAGGTGAGGAGGGTTTCGGCCAAGGAGATCTGGGTTTGGCCCGAGTCACGAACGTGAGGGAGGGAGGCACGGGGACCAGTTTTCCCAAGAGTCCGGGCTTGTGCACGGCCGATGCGTGCCTGCCCAGCGTGGGGTCTCCTCGAGGGTGAAGCAGGGGTGTCTCTTCTTCAGGGAACCACGGTGGGCGGCCTCACAAACCGACTTTTCACATTGTCTCCCTCAGCCCAGGGCAGCTCTGGGTTCAGCTTCTGCAAGGTGGAACTGCCGGAGGTCCCTGGGAGCCTGGTGCAGTGCGGGGCCGGGTTTCCTGGCCCCTCTCTGCCTCCTCCCCAGTGTTCCTCTCTGCACTCTGGGTGTGGGGGTTCAGGGGTGCTCTCCAGGGGTGATGTTGGATCTGTTCTATGCAGGGACCTGACCGTGCTGTTCATGGACTAGCTT